CTCTGCCTAGGGATCTGCCTCGACTCTCGCGTGCACCGGGATCCCCACTCGTTTGCGCTCCGTGGCATCCGGTATATACCTACGTCACGCCACACGGAAGCCCGAACTCCTGGGTTTGTCGCTTCCATACCACCTACGCGCATGATGGAATCCTTATTCAGCGCCTCCATCGAGCCAAGAACGGCGGCGATCGTAGCTACGACCGTCGTCGCGACGCTCTCCTTCCTGTCTCTTGCGCGACTTGGCCTCTACCCCAACTGGGGCACCGCAATCCCTAACCCTCTCAAGACCAAGATTCCCACACTCACAAACGATGAGGTCAAGAAGCTTCCCTACCACCCAGACTACTTTCCTGGCGCCCGGGATGTGGACACGCCTGTAAGATACCACCCCTTCGCCACCAGCTCACCACCTCCTCAAGATGCGCCCCCTAGTACTAAGTGAACCTGGACTAACACACACCCTCTCAGTACGGCTCCATCCGCGTCTACGAATGGGGCTCAACCACCGGGCCAAAAGTAGTCCTCATCCACGGCATCAGCACCTCCTGCATGACCCTCGGCCCCATCGCCCACGCCCTCGCCGCCCGCGGCTGCCGCGTCATGCTCTTCGACCTCTTTGGCCGCGGCTTCTCCGACGGCGTCGGCGACCTGCCCCACGACACACGCCTCTACACCACCCAGGTCCTCCTCGCCCTCGCCTCCTCCCCGCTCGCCTGGTCCGGCACCGACGCCGTCCGCGTCGTGGGTTATTCTCTGGGCGGCGCCGTCGCCGCCTCCTTTGCGGCGTCGTTCCCGCACGTCGTGGAGAGCCTCGTCCTGCTCGCGCCCGCGGGGCTCATTCGCGCGGAGAACTTTGGGGTGCTGGCGCAGGTTACGTTCCAGTCTGGTCTTGTGCCTGAGCGCGTCCTCGCTGCTGTTACGAGGAAGAGGTTGCAGAAGCCGTTGGCGAGCAAGCGGTCTAATGCTGTTGAGGAGGAGGAGGACCCGGTCGAGAAGGTTGTTGACGTCGCTGCCGCGGAGGTGTCTGGGCCTCACGGTGGCAGCGGGGAGGATCAGAAGGTCGAGCGGAAAGTGCGCGAGTATGTTCCGTGGATGGTTGCGCATCACGAGGGGTTCGTCAAGGCCTTCATGTCGTGTGTGCGGTGGGCGCCGCTCACGGGCCAGCACGAGACGTGGCGGGTTCTGGGTCAGAGGAAGAAGGGGACCACGGCGGTGTTTATCGGGAAGACGGACGAGGTAATTGATGTTGATCACTATGCCAAGGATGGATTGCCGTTGCTGGGGGGCGAGGAGAATGTGACGTGGAAGGTTCTTCCTGGTGGTCACGACTTTGTGATGACCAAGACCGAGTATATCATGCGCGAGTTGGATGCTTTCTGGGGTATGAAGGTGCAGCCATAAAGATGAGGGGTATAAATACGACGACTGGGGGGCCATAGACGAAGATGGGTGCGGACAGATCATGTGACGCGTTATTGATAGACTCCTAGAAACGACACCATTTGCTTGCTTCTATTCCTGGATAACACTGTGTATTGGCAGCATCCATCTTCAATCTTTGACTTCCGATTCGCATCGAAGTGTTGGATGCATGGAACCATGTATATAATACGAGGATAGAGTGTTAGCTGCCTGTAGATATCCCTATCTATTCGCTGATTGGTAGCATGCCTGAAGTCTATGAGATCCTTCTATTAAGCTTATTGGTATCTCCCCGCCATGCATCCTGTAGAGAAGTCAAACTAGCTTACCTTCACCACTTAGGTCGACAAGAACACGCAGCAAGACGTACTTGTGGTTAGTACGTTGACTACATTCTGCTCGTTGCTCGTGGGTATGCCTATTCCGCCCATCTAGACATGCTGTAGAACTTCTCCATCATAACATATCAGTAGACGGGTGTGGGATTTGTACTACTCCGATGATTGATCTAGAGATATGCTGTGCTTACGGGTACACCCTCAACACCACGGACAACCGTACGAATTGAGAGGAGCATATTCATGCCACGTCAATGCTTCCTTCCAAATATCTTAGTTCGCGTCGTCGCTCTGCTTAGACAAGTAAAAAATTCACCCAACTTGGGAACTCTCCATTAAGCCAGGAGGATGTTCATTGTTGGAGTGATAGGGTAGATGGACCCAGTTAGCATAAGTAAATTGATAAAAAGAAATGACGAAAAAGCTCAGTACAGGATTCGAACGGTTTGAAACCAATTCCTGTACTTGCGAAAATTCCATTGTTTTTCATGCATGTTTAACCACTCAGCTACGTGGCCCCGGGGAGTACTATTAAACCCCGAGGATTGTTCATTCCCTCGAACCAGTGACCTATATACCACCTAGCCTAGGGAATACACGGAGAAAATCAACAAAAAAGCTCGGGCGTTGGTTCGAACCCTATCCCTACGAAAAACCGGCGTCCCAGTTTCTTCATCACCCGTTTAACCACCAGGCTACGTGGCCCCAGCAAGTTTGCACTGTACCGGGGAGACGCTCCTTCCTTCGAATCTGTGTCCTATGTATCCTCTATCCATCCGTCTCGTGGCCCTCAATGAATTCAACCAGAATGCCGCCTCGGAATGGGATATCGCTGCCTACTTATCTTAGATAGGCAGCCGCGGAGCTTCGATGAAGCCTCAGATAACTCCATCGTCTCTCCTTCCGGTGATCCGGCACCTCGATGCAGATTAATTTCCATTGCTCTCGATGATAACCACCGACCGCAGACATTTAGAAGCCGCTATTATGGACGCATTTGGCATGTCGTATGGATGTCGTTCACTTTTTAAGCAAGGTAGAGTAAAGCTTCGACATCAGGAACACCGTAATAGCAAATTTCTGTCGATTGGTCAACGCTCAACGCCAAAAGCTGGTATTGTCGACGTTTCGTTTCACATGGCCATCCTCGCAACACTTCTCGTAATTTCATACGAAAACAAGATAGACGTGAATATTGGGTTAGGAAAACAAGCTTTATGTGACTAGTCTTGCGCTATCAACGGTTCCTGCAAGCAGACGCATAAGCTCGAGGAGGCCCGCGATATTGAAAATACGTGCTCCTGTCTCAGAAGTCTAGAAGCTCGGGTAGGGTAATTTTCATGTCCAAATATAAGATACAACGGCATCAAAAGCAACAAAAGTATTGCGCTACTGAGGATGGAACGCTATGATTGAATATTGATGAAGTTGGGAAATTAGCTAAGCTGGGAGACCCCAGCCACGGTGGCGATCCCTGTTCGCCTGGAATGGCAATAATGGGTCGTTCCCCGCGCCACATATCAAAGCTGGCGCCAATCGCGCGATAAGACGGGGAAAATGGTCTAGGCCGCGATAAGCCTCCAACCGTGGACCTCCCTACTAGGGTGGCTCCAAGAGGTGCATGTGCTCATGCTCGTGTGCCTCGACTTGCCCCTCCAAATATTCCTGTTCCATCCATCACCTGGGAGGTTCCTGCATATTCTGCACAGTAATCGCCTCGCCGACGACAAAACCCGAGGCGCAAATGCACCCGACTGCTGTTGGTTAACTGAGTTCAAGTAACATTCGACCCCACCATCTCGGATATTGACTCTTGTTTCGTCATGCTGACTTATCACTGGCCAACAGCCTGACTGTCGTTTGTCCACGACTCGCTCGCGACATTGACTGATTGATGCGGAGCCTATAACGACGAGCTTTATCTCGAGACAAAAGAACCACCACCGCGGCCGTACACACCGATAGAGTCGCCGGAGACGATGCAAACGATCTAAGATGGCAAGCCCAGATGGTGGAGCTGCTCCAGCTTCCCTCGACGATCATCACCGCCTGCTCGACGATGCAGGAGAATCGATATCGGGCAGCTCCCACATCGGGAGTGATGCTTCAGACGACTCTTCCGAACGGGGACAATGTCGCTGGCGGACGTCTCGCTACCACGATATGGAATGCTCTCGCTTCTTCGACTGCCCTACCCATGTAGTTGAGAGGCATCTCTCTGACGACGAGGCCAACGATAGTGAGGCTGAGGAGGAGCCCACATTGCAGCATCAGACGGGCGACGATAGGGCCGAAAGTTCATCAAGCGCGAGGCTACATACTGTCGATTCTCCCGTGCCTGAAGAAACTCCAGAGCCTATCCCAGCACCAAGCTTTGCGCCCGGGCCCGAGGAGACGAATACGGGGCGACCAAGAGAACCAGTAGATTCAGCACAGGCAACCTCAGCACGGGATACTGAAGGGCCTGATGAGTCTCAGGATCCCGAGGAAGCCGCACCGGCACCACCAACCCCTTTAAGCTCTCGACTTTCAGAGACTTCTCAACCTCTCCCACCGACTGCAACACCTGCAACGCCGACCGGAGAGTTTGTCCCACCAGAAAGATCATCGAGCTTGGTTACATCGCAAGCGGCAAACACATCGTCACACGACTTGCCCTTGCGCCCAGCTCTATCACCCAGTCGATCTCACGAAACGCCGCCTCCACCGCCACCCAGACGGGCGAGTTCTTCGACTGCTATTCAGCCTCCTTTGCGCGGTCAACAAGGACCTGGAGAGAGAAGCGGACCCCCCGAGTTTGTCGTCCCGCGTTGGCAACCAGACGCAGAGGTTGTTCTTTGTCCGATTTGCAACGTACAATTTAGCATATTCGTCAGGAAACATCATTGCAGGTATGTTGAAGTTGAGGGGCTGTGTGACGTAGTCGCTAATAAATTGCAGGAAATGTGGAAGAGTCGTTTGTAACGCCTGTTCGCCTCACAGAATCACCATTCCTTACCAGTACATTGTTCAAGCGCCAGGACAACCGCGACTGGCCGCCCAGAGATACCCGTCTTCCCTCATCAGTGGTGAGGGAGGATATGCAGATTTCAGCAGCCTTGGTGGAGGCGAGCGCGTTCGTTTATGCAACCCATGCGTCCCAGACCCGAACACCACACCGCCGCAGCAGCCACTTGGCTCGCCTTCCCAGTTGTCTCCTCGAGGATCGCATTATAGATCGCAAAGCAGCATCAGCACAATGTCCAGCAACGCGCCCGCTCCCTCGCGATTCTCCGGCTACTTCACGTCGAGCCCCTCCCCGGAGACCTATGCCAGGTCTAGAAGCATTACGGTAAGAGTTAATCCAGGTCCACATTCCATTAACACACATGCTAACTTATGCAGCACTCCGGCTCCGGTGGGCCCTCGAGCTCTCGTGGACATTACCAATCCTCTGGAAGTCGGATCATGGCAGGCACCCCGCCGACGTACTATCCGTCCTCCTCATCCGGCTATCCAGGCTCATCCCGCTATCGATCGATGCTGGACGTTGGTCCATCGTCGTCCTCATCAGCTCACTACAACCGTGCACTGCCGCCGCCGCCGCCCCAAATAGCCGAGGAAGACGAATGTCCGGTCTGCCATCGCGAACTGCCCTCTCGTACCCTCCCCAACTTTGAGCAGCTGCGTGAGACACACATTAACACCTGCATCACTTCACACAGCGCTTACGGCGGTACACCGACGGGAGAGACCCCTCCAGTCGGAACGCCGCCTCCCTTGGCGGTTCGCCGGACTGGTATGTTCCCTTATGTTGCGACAGAAAAGGACTGTGTCGACTCGGCCGAGTGCACCATTTGCCTTGAGGAATTCGAGGTGGGCGTTCCAATGGCGCGTCTGGAGTGCCTCTGCCGTTTCCACCGATCCTGTATCTCAGCTTGGTTCATCAACCATCCTGGACGGTGCCCAGTCCATCAGCATGATAGTTTTGGCTATTGATACCTCGTGTTGTCGGTTCATTACTTCTCCTCTCGCAGGCTCTGATCTTTCGGCGTTTCGGTTTGCATAGGGGCCGTTCAGTTTAACCAAGTCTTTCCTTTTAACGATGCTTGCTTTCTCTTGTGTTGATTTGACAACCAAAATCCCATCTCACCATTGTCCGCCGCACCAACGCTGTGGGAAGAGATAATACGAGTTGATGCCGGGAAGCGCTCGTTGTCGTCAGCGGATGTGAGTATTTAGAATGGTCGGGGCTGATTTGCTTTTGTTTTTTGTGGACTGGATGGTCTCACGGTGCCTTGCTAGTTTTTTCATATATACATGTCAGCCAGTGTGCCAGGGTATAATACTTTTGCTAGTAAATACTTCTGAAGCGAAACGGAGGAGAGAAAGAGGGGAGGCGGCGCATCGTTGCACAGAGCCACTCTCTCGCTCCCCTCGATGGAGATACCAGCCACTCAGATTAGATAGATATGTTAGGTTTGCTTCTAACAATGAGATGCCTTGCTCACTTGTGGCGATTTGGCTCGCCCAGGCACATTCAATTTTCGATTTTCTCCTCAACTCGTGTCGCCTACATTAGCCATCGAAAGGAGGGTATTTATTCTGTCACCCGAGTGCTCACCCTGTCTCAGTCATGGGACCCGGTAGACGTGGCTGCTTGTATGTTCGGGCCCAAATGGATGACAGAGAGATCTGCCGCTCAATCCAGATTTCTCTCGATGCCTCTAATACGACTCTATCATTCCCTCTAGCGTTTCTTTTACTGTTTCCTCCATTGGTGCTATAGCTTCTCTTCATGCTTATCGGAGTATATTGTCTACAAGATATATACTAGAAGTATTGTAGTCAGATGGCAAGAAGGACAGTCGTGACGAGGAAATGAGTGATAGGAAGAAAAACTATCGTAAGGACCGGCAGAGTTACTTGGTCACCCACTTTGTTGCCCTTCCGTCGAAAAAAAAAGACAACAACCAGTGCCTGACTGCGGTCGTTTCACTTTGACAGAGAGGAGTCGTAGTTTTCGTGGGGATTCAAGGGGAGAGAAACACAGGACGTGTTTATATGTTGTAAGACACATCTTTCCCAAGGTTACGACAACCCACTTGTATCACTACCACCGTGGGGACCGCCATAGGTTCCGTCCGGCAGGCAAGCTGTACGGGTAGATTACTCCAAAGGCAAGCGACGGACGTGACTTGTCTCGGTAGAAGCGTGTATGTGGACTCGTTTCGACGTGGGACGTTTCGACCGTTTCTCCCCAGTGTAGCTCGACGTCAAACCACGTTTTGAGCAGAGTGATCTTCGTCTGCCGGCCCCATTCCCCTTCCCTCCCCTCCCGTGCCCTCTTCCGCCCCCTTCCGGTCAAGGGCCAAGACATGGAAAGTTCACTGCGATATGTAGGTTACCTCGTGGCTCACGTCATTGATGTTCTGGGAACAGTCTAGAAGGAAACTTCGGAGACTCTTCACACAGGTTAAGATCCGAATAAGTGTCCGCACATCACAGTGCCGATACTGCGTAGGTAGCTGGCCAAGACACGGGAACATCCCACCTCTAGGACGAGGGGGTTCGAAAAAGGGGGGAGGAAGGAGGGGGAGAGCATTAAAAGGATCTAGAACATGCCAGGGCAGCACGATCGTCCAAAAAAGAAGATCCCTGCTGCGAGTCCCCGGGAGTTTCCACTTGGCACTGGGTATGTGCTCCATAGGCCCTACCCTCGCCGACTGGCCCGACCTTGCCGAGGAGGAGGAGGAAGAGATGGAAGTCGTTAATACTGTGTATGCTAGATCCTCAGAATCAGTCTTTGAAAATAGAACCGAGCAGCTCTTCGAGAAAACAGGAAACATGAACCTGTCTGGACAAAGGTGATGGATGTAGAGAGAGATAGGAAAGTCTGTAAGTTTGAGGACAAGCAAGGTCCAACCAGGGTCGCTTAATCATTATCAATAACACACGTCGCCGACCTGCATTCACCCACCGGAATCCCGATAATGAGCTTATTTCTTTTCTCCAATCTGTCGAGTAAAAATTTCTGCTCAGTCTCCGACTTTCTCATTTGCTTTAAACTCGCCGACTGGCAGATTGCTGCCCCAGCTTTTTTTTTTTTTTTTTTTTTGTTCTAGTTGTGTACTTCGTACGGATTACCCAACGGTCAAAAGTCCCGAGCAGGAAAAACAACTCACCTGCGTTCTTAATTTCTCGCGGCCAGGGGTGGTCGCTGCTTGCGGGCATTTATATGCGCGCAGTACGGATACACCTCACGCGAGTTGGCATCCGTAGGAAGGCAGTGTAAAACTGTGTCGCAGGCAACAAATCCCAGAACCGACTCTGCGTCAATGGATAGTGCAGCAAAACTGAAATGATTAGATGAACCCGACCAACACTATCCGTACCAAAAAACCTCTTGTGTAAGGGCATACCGGTACAATGTTTCATGAAACTCAGCTGTCCGTAACCTACGACCCCACCCCTCCTTATACGTTCATCGGATTATCGTCAAGATGCGGGAAGGAAAAGAAAAAAGAGGGGCCGAGTAGGCTGTTTGGGGTAGATGGTGATTCGGGAAGGGAGGCTATATCATGAGTGGTATTATGGCACGCCATGCGCTTGAAGTTGAGCATGTCTAACGTCAGTTCAAGCCCATTCTTGACAGAAGAGGAAACGGATTGCAACTTTCAGCCCTAGCCTGGTGTCACCGAGCCCCTCTGATCGTCCGCATCCCTCAATGAAACGGACCAAGGAAAGTCGAGACTGTCATCGAATTGGGGCTCTTGGCGTGAATTCGTTTCGTCTTGATGTGGTTTTCACAGCATTGTTTCGCGCGCAAAAGCACCGCCGGTTGGCTCTGGCCACCCTCGTGGTCCGGTCCCTCAGCGCGGGTTCCCACCCCCGCTGGATATCCTGGTTTCAACCCCCCGTCAATTTTAGATGACGATGGAGCCACGCTCTCGCCACGGAGCAGCGCGCATGCCTGCCCACGGCACCACGGCGCCGGGAGCATGGAGGAGTGGCTCCTCTTTTTGCGTTCTGGACTGCATTGTTTGGTCCGCACGTCCGCCCTGAGGAGCGAGGATGAACCCCCATGAGGCAGGTTGGTAAGGTAGGACCGTAGGATGGACGGCGGCGGCGGCACAGTAAGAGGAAAACTCTCTCGCGCGCGTTGTTTTTTCCCTTACCGTTGGTGGCGCTTGTCCTTCTTCCATCACTCTGCAGGATTGAGTAAGATTAAATCAAAATAATAACGGTATTATGGTTGCCTGCCCTCCTGCTTCGGGCTCTTCCCTCAAAAGGATTATCATATCCTGTCGTGTACGTGTGAAATCTTTTCTTGATCCTTTCTCTCTCTCTCTCTCTCTCTCTCTCTCTCTCTCTCTCTCTCTCTCTCTCTCTCTCTCTCTCTCTCTCTCTCTATCCACGCTGGTCTGGAACTCTTGCTGTACCCCTTTGAGGTCCGTCATTCTTTCACTTGTTGATATTGCCGACTGCTGTTCTGTCATTATCCAAAGAAAAGACACCGAGCTTGTCTCTGTCCGAATCGAATCTGCAACCCATCAGTAGTTCCTCCTTGGCTAGGAACCTCACCGTAACACATAGTTATCACGTCCATCGTCTTCGACACAATGAAGCAATCCATTCTCTTGTTAGCCGCCTCGGCCGCTCACATGGCCTTCGCCAAGCCCGTCAAGTCCTGCTCAGCCAAGCCGCGTAGCACGACCGTCCTCACCTTCTACGTCACCCCGACATACGGAGGCCCGACCATGACCCCCATCCAGACGGCGCCGGTCGTGCAACCTACCCCCGTCGAACCACCTGTTGAGAGCTCCGTCGAAAGCTCCGCCCCCGTCGAGACTCCCGTTCAGATGCCATCGGTCATCGCAACAACCGCATCGGCTTCGGCTACCGTGGTGGAGCAGGCTGCCCCATCGTCTAGCAGCAGCAGTGCCAGCACCCCGGCCTCATCCTCGACACCGATCGGCAGCGGTGGAACCAAGCAGGGCAAGTCGACCTTTTACGGCGGTAACACCTCTGGCGGCATGTGCTCCTTTTCGACCTACACCATTCCCTCCGGCCTTTATGGCACCGCCTTCTCCGGCCAGGCTTGGGATTCGGCCGCTCACTGCGGTGCTTGCGTCAAGGTCACTGGACCCAACGGCAACAGCATCACGGCCATGGTTGTAGACCAGTGCCCCGAGTGCGACGAGGGCCACCTCGACCTCTTCCAGGATGCCTTCACCCAGCTCGGAACCGTCTCCGAGGGCATCATCTCGACTTCGTACGAGTTTGTTGAGTGCGGTATCACCTCGCCGATCAAGCTCCACAACAAGACTGGCACTTCTGCCAATTGGTTCTCCATGCAAGTGCTGAACCACAACGAGCCCGTGGCGAAGCTTGAGGTCAGCACAGATGGCGGAAGCACTTGGCAGGCGACCAACCGCCAGCCATACAACTTTTTCGAGAACTCGAGCGGTTTCGGAACCGAGACCGTCGACGTTCGCGTTACGAGCGAGTCGGGCAAGACTATCACTGTCAACAGCGTCAGCGTCGCCGCCGACTCCGAAAAGGAGGCGTCATCCAACTTCTAAGTCGTGAGCACAAGAGTCTCCTGAGCTCGGACATTTGAAGCATGGCTGTCGTCTGAGGACGAGCGCGGTTCGGAGATTTTTGTTTCCCTGGGCTGGGCGTCTGTTGCTCTGGATTGTCGTCTGCGTATGGGCCTATTGTGGCACCGTGTGCTTTACATGCTGCAGGGACAGAATGCATCGATCGCGATTCGCCTTGGTCGAAAACCCTTCATTGTTTGGGCGAACTTTTCACTTCTCTTTTCTCTTCAATGCTCGCATTGGGCCTTTCTTTCATGTGACGACGACTTGGGGTTAGACAGCATGGTTTGGGACCGGAAAAAGGCTCGGGGCTAGCCCATAACTTCCCCCAGATAAATTGGTTTTTTGAACAAGCTCAAATCACCGAGTTGGTTCGCGTAGCATTTATGTGGACAG